ATTATATGGTTATTGAGAAGAAAGAGGCTATCAAGATTAACCAGTAAAAATCACAGTTAAAAATCCCATTAAACTGTACTTAATCTATTTGCCATATTGTGCATAGCCGTGGTTTTTTCTTGTTTAAGTTTTTATCAAATGAAATAAGACGTTAATGAGAAGACGAATTTCAGCAGTATTGCTTAATCACAAAGCCTTAGATCGAGGCCTAACTGTAGTCGATATTTTCATCCTATGCTTATAAAGGGTTTTCATTCAAGGGATACCATAAACCGATGAGAAACCCAGAAACGAGTATCGCATTCTTTCGTTTTTGTGCCTGTCTTGGCCAACCTCGCAATTAAGTAATAAACTAAAGGTGGATGGGCCTACCGGCAGCAGCAATCGGCTCTTTGGAGGCCCAGTGGTTAAGCAGACTGCCCAAGAACATGAGCATGCAAAAGTCCTTTTCAATCGGCGTGTTCTCTCTCTGGCATATTTGTTGCTGAGATGGAGTCTGCAATTCCACCACCTGATCAGAGTCATTGTTCAGCCTAACATCTGCCACGACTTGGTCAGTCGTCCGTCCGTCGGGCTCCGTGTTCGCTTGCTCAGACTCGCCGATGGGTCCAAAGGATTTCCTATTTGCGCCGGCAGATGAAAGCAGAACTTCGGCAGATCTCGAGCCATCGTAGCCGGACACATAGAGACTGTTGCGTAGCGAGATGCAGGTGGATAGCAGGCCGGGGAGACAGCTGAAGGCTGGCAACCAGGCACGAAAACCGGCAGCACATGTCTGGCCAGTCCCGGTCGCAGTTGCAGAACCGGCACTGGTACCGGTCGCGTTGGCGGCCACAGTTCCGGCCGAAAGGGGACTAGCCAGTCCGGCATACATCGACTGTGGCCTACCGGCCTGCCGACGCGCCGAGGCGTGGTGATTACGCCCGCCGGCCTCTTCACAGTCTGCAGCCCGAATGCTCGAGCCGCGAGTCAGCCGACGAGAAGTGCTCGAACCGGCTGAGCCTGTTCTTGTCAAGTTAACACCCGGTTGGCCGGCCGCATCGGACTGGCCCAGCCGCAGGCCCAGACAACCGGCCGCCTGACGACAAACGAGAGGAATCAGGCAAAATCGCAGCAGATCGGCCAAATGGAGGGCACAGGCGGCCAGATACAGATTGGCCGACCACCAACTGTCCGAGCTGGCCTCGAGGCCGGCACCGCCGGCTGGTTTGGCTTCGTCGCCTCCGCTCGTGCTACTCGACTCGCAGAATCGACCCGCCGACAGTCGAGCGTCGAGGCAGGCGAGCAGACTGGCGTCGGATTGTGCCAGCTCGCGAGTAGCTTCAGGACAATATCGAGCGTGTAATCGCTGCGTGGCGCGCAGATCACGCTCCAGACAGGCCGGCAAACGCGTCTGGCAGGCGATGGGCAAACTCTCAGAGGGACTGGTGGCCAGGAAAGCCGAGCAGACAAGATAGGTTTTGGCTCGTATCAGGGCGTGTGGGCTGTCCAAATGACGAATGAAGGAGACCAGAAACCGCTGATCGGATAACAGGCGACGACAAGAGGACTGCGTGGAGACAGTCGACGCCGATGCTGGGCCCGACGCAGGGCTCGACGCACTGCTGATCTGGCTGGCGGCAGCAGCCTTCGAGTTTGTCCGACGTGTCTGGCCAGTTCCAATGGTACCGGACGATTTATACTTGAAGTTGAAGGTGCGCCCAGTCTTCTCAGCTGCGGTAGCACCGGGACTCAATTTGTTGATGGCCAGTCCAGCCGAGGCGGGGCTGGGTGGAGCTGTGATGTCGGGTTCTCGGCTGAGCGGGGATAATAGGCCAGACGTGGCTATTGACAACAGACGCGCCTTTTGGAGAAAGAGAAAAATAGTAATCAGTAAGATATTAGAGAAAAATAAGTTTCAGAGAGTACATTAAAAGAGTAATGCTGGCGTACATTTCATTTCGTCTGAAGAGGCGAATGGAAGGGCTTCGCAAAAATTGATCTCACCAGAAGCTAAAGAAGATGATGGCCTTAAAGTTTTGACTCTGAATTTGCGCACAAACCTCCACCATGCCAAGACTCCAATGAATGCATGCTGAATTTTTGTCTGTCCTGTCATCTATGATAATTTAGCAAACACGAAGACAAGAAGAATGGCCGGCTACAATACTGCCTCCTTCTCATAGCTTGGCCTTGTTCAATTAATGAGATTAATTTGTCACGAAGTAAGCCAGATCTTAGGGTCCTGGTAGTTTTCAACAAAAAATTCTTATAAATTTGATGAGTTAGTAGATGGTTAGGTGGGAAACAGCGGATGGTTGCTTGAAAGTTTTGATGTAGAATCAATGAACCCTAATATTCCCGTAAGAGGAGAAAGACAGACCTAGAATTAACACCTTGGTTACGTTGTCAGAGAGACCTACGTAAAAGCACCTTATCCAGAATACTATGTGATAGTAGCCATGACAATTTCCACCGTCAGATGATGGA